ACACAGACTTACTAGTTATCGGCAGGTCTCCTTCCAGTGGAATATTGTTAGAAGATCTTCAGCAGGTCCCATGCAAGTGTATTTATGTGTCTCTCTGATCCTGTTACTGCGGAGGTATAGAAAATGCTGCTTGCTCGCCGGCCGCCATGTTGGATGGTCRTGTGATTAGTTTTGAAAAACCTTGTAATTCTGTTTGTATTCTCCTTTTTTTAAAAGAGTTGTTCAATAAAAAAATTTAAGTTTTAATTAATAGGATGATGTACAAATTGTATAGCATAACATTACATTGGTCCTTATTTTGAATTTAAAAAAATTCAAGGTGTATGGCCCTTTTTCTTATATAATTATTTAATATTTTTAATCATTTGTGCATTTCTTTTTGAAATTTGTTTTCTTTGTATTCAATATGTGATTGGTTTCTTCAAATGTTTCATGAACACTTGAAGAAGAATGTGTATTTCTCTGTTTTCAGAGTATATAATTCTGTAAGATAAATTTTATTGACTATATGGCTTGTGTCTTCTCTGCCTTTCCTTATTCCTCTCTTGATCTCTCTTGGATGGCACTATATATAAGCCTTTTTATTTATTAGAGTGTTTCTGTGTTGCCTTATGTCTTTAAAAAATTGTTGCTTTATTATTTGGTATATAGATATTCATTAGTTATATTTTCATGGTGAAATGTAGATTTTAGAAGCTTTTTTAAAATATTATTTTAATTGTAGGTGGACACAACACCTTTATTTTACTTATTCATTTTTATATGGTGCTGAGGATTGAATCCAGTGTTTCACACATGTTAGGCAAGCCCTCTACCAATGAGCTACAACCCCAGCCCTTCAGTGGCTTTTTAAAGATAACTTATTGTTTTTTACTCAAATTATGATTGTCTGATATCAGTATCACCACCCCTATTTCTTATTTGTCTGCTTTGCTTTTGCCCTTTTGTTTTGGGCCTTTCTGAATTTTATTTTATTTTTTTCCATTAATATACAGCATATCATTGGATTTGGTTTTGCCAAATTGAAGGTCTTTTCATTTAGTGAGATAAACCCATTCATATTTATAAACATTATTGATAGGTTTAATCTAAAATTGGCCATTATTTTGTTCAATTATGTGTATTATATTTGGTATATTCCTATCTCTATGATGTACTTTCTTTGTCATTTTATTTTTAAAATTTCTTTTGTTCTTTAGGAAGGCTTATATTTATATTCTAGTATTATTTCTGTTCATATATCTTTTTAATACTTATAGGCTTCTACTTTCTTAATTAACCTTTAACTATCTTGTTTGTTAATTGTTAATAGTATSTTTTAATTCTCAGCTATCAGCTAAACAACAATCTTAGAGCTCACTTYACTTTTTTCTTTCCCCCCTCTTCTCCTCCTATTTTTTTGGTTGCTTTATTTCTTCTAAGAACGTACAATATCTATATATTATTTTTATACTCTTGTCCTCACTTTTAAGACTTTTATTTACACTTAAAAATATTAAATGTTCATCATTAGTCAATTTGCTCAGGTTTTCTTAGTCATTTCTTATTTGGGTGAAGCTTATAGATTCCTCAGAAAGATTACATTTTTTGTGACTTCTTCCTTATTTAAAACAATTGCTAATAGAAAAATACTACATATTAAAATTGTTGCTAATATCATACTATTATTATAGCCTTGGTGTTTAAAGGCAGCTTGGTTAAATATAAAATCCTTGGCTCACATTTTCTTTCCCTGAGCATTTTGAAAATACTGTTCTTCTGTTATCTTACTTTGTTTTGCTGTCATTGTTAAGTCCAATGCCATTGTAATAACTCTTGCTTTTCTATGTTATTTAGTTATTTTGGTTAGAGGCCTTAAAATTTTTTCCTTTACATTAATAGTTTTACCAAATGTATTGTGGATATATAACTACAAAGGTAGAGACAAAAGTGGAATAATAATACAGAAATGTTATATATTCTAATGAAATAGAAGTAAAACAACTAAAATATGGAGGAGAAGGGGGAGTAAGACGAGTTTGGAATGAATTCTGATGTTTGAAGAATGCTAGCTTGATGGGGGATGGGTTACAAGATTCCTAGTTAAAGGTGATCTGATTTGACAGTGTGACAAGATACAGTCTCTTAAGAGGATAACTTTTTTTTTATGTGATTTTTTTTTTTGAACAGGGAACCAATTTTTTGTTTTCTTCTCATTCCTTTATCCCTTCACCACTGTTTTAGCTATTTCGCTATTGTGACTAAAAGGACCCAACCAGAACAACTGTAAAGTAGGAAAAGTTTATTTGAGGGCTCATGGTTTCAGGGGTCTCAATCCATAGTAGGCTGTATTCCTTAGGGCTCAAGTCAAGACAAGACATAATAGAGGAAGAGTGTGGCAGAGGGAAGAGTCTCACATGATGATCTGGAAACAGAGACAGAGATTCCACTCTCCAGATACAAAATATAGATCCCATAGCTACGCCCCCAATGAGTCATTTCCTCCAGCCACACCCCACCTGCCTCCAGCCACCACCAGTTAATCCCATCAAGGATCAATTCACTGATTAGGTTAAGGTTATGGCCCAATCATTTCTCCTCTAAACCTTCTTGCATTGTCTCACAGGTCAGCTTTTGGGGACCACCTCACATCCAAACCATAACAGCCACCCGTTTCCAAAGAGCACCCTTCCCCTTCCCTTCTTTTTTACTCTCTTCCCCAGAGTCCATGCTTTTCAAAGCCTTGAATCAAGTACACTGGTAAATCCTTTCCCTGTAGTCACCAGGCCCCTTTTTAGTATTTTCACTCTTAGATTGAATTTCTCTTTCTCATGGTGCTTTTGTGTCAGTCTTAGGTTTCCTTTCTCTCAATACAGTTTTTTTTCTGGCTGTGGTGGGGTGAGAGGGCTTGAGAGTCCATTGATTTGGTGTTTATTTTAATACTCCTTAGAGATGGAGCATTCTCTGACTTCTAGCTATGCTGAGAGTTTGGGCTTTGTATACTTTTCCTTGTCCTTCTTGTTCTGTAGGTTTTTGGAGAATGTGTGGGGAGACACAGACCTATAAGATCATTGCTATCCTCAACTTTCTTTTTGCTAGGAGACGCCTAACTGCAAATTGGCCTTTAAAGTGGATAGGAACAAAATCTTACAGATTATTCAGGGGTTAAGCCTGAAATTTTCATTTGTTCAAATATTGATTATATTTTTTGCAATGATTTTAAAATTTTATTGATGTTTATTTAACTCCACTTTAGAATACTTATTTAAAATAATGTGCTCTTTCTAAATATGGTAAGTAAATTTTGAAGGTATTCTGGCTAATACAGAATGGTTATAATAAAAATATTCTCCTTTTTTGCCTTCATTACATAAGGAATATTTTATTTGGTCATGAGATTTTGTTGTTGTTATTGTTGCTCTTAGAGTCCCAGGCAAATTGTTAAAAATTCGAATTATAGGAGGTAGGGATGACAGAGAAGATAATTAATGGGTGCAGGGGAGCATTTGCATAGGAAGAATAACTTCTAAGACTCTGTAGCATAGTAGGGTAACTGTGGTTGACAAAAATTAACTTTATATTTCAAGATAGCTAATAGAAAGAATTTTGAATTTTTCCAGCACAAAGAAATGACAAATGTTTACAGTGGTGTCTATGCCACTTACCCCAATCTGATCGTCACATATCACATGCATATATTAAAATGTCATACTACACCCTATTAATATGTACAGTTATTATGTGCCAATCAATCAAAAGCTTAAATTAAAAAAATCAGAACTACACAAACCATATATTTAGGATATAAACTATGTTTATATGTTGGCTTTTCTAAGCAAATAATAGAAAACTTAAAAAATTAATCACTGTGTCCTAAGGCCTTGATTTCATTTTTAATGCAAAGGATACCCTGCTCATGCTTTTATCTTCTTTGCTTTATATAAATGTGTCATATGTATTCTGAGGTGGCATTCTTCCCTTACATTTTCTTTGCATACGTTAAGATTCAGAAGCAGCTATAAAGTGTTGTTTTGCCAAGAAGGAAACGATACTTCCTGCTTCCCCCACAGGCAGCTTTGAGTCTTCCACGAAGACCTTTCTTTCACTGCTCTACTGTGATACCTGTTGTGGTTCTGATCCTGAAGCTTACTATGCACCTTTTCAAGCTCAAAGATTCATGGTGTTTTCTTCCTTGGATGTTATTCATATCCTGGACGTCGCACCATATTCGAGATGGAATTCGTCACGGCCTGTGGATGTGCCCTTTTGGAAAAACTTCTCCTTTGCCATTCTGGCTTTATGTGATAACCACATCATCTTTACCTCATATCTGTTCATTTGCTATGTATTTAACAGGGACCAGACAAGTGATGTCTTCAAAACATGGAATTCATATTGATGTCTGATGTAACTACATGGCTCATAGAGAAGTAAATGGTTCAGATGATGATAATGAAGGGTAGCCAACATTAAAGTGAATTTTTAAAACACAGATACTTATATTGTTTAATTTTTATAATTTTTGAGTACTTCTTGCTCAGAAAGTTATCTATAATTTTCTTAAAAATTTTATTTATATTGGTTGGGTATGGTGGCACACACCTATAATCCCAGCAACTTAAAGGCTAAGGCAGGAGTATCACAAGTTCCTCAATTTGGCAAGACCCTTTCTCAAAAAAAATAAAAGGGTTGAAGTATATAGCTCAGTGGTAGTACAATTCCTAATACCATAAAAAATTTGTTCTATATCTCATATATGTCACTCTAGTGCAATATTAGACTCTTTCTTATGCCATGATGTTTTTATTGCTGCTTGTGTTTCTGTGGCTTTATTAGTAGTTTTGTTAGGTTAACATCCAGTTAGTTGTCTGGGATTATACTTGTAAATTAGTCCATTTCCTGATGAAAAGCTTAAATTTTAGGATGACAATTTTATGGAAAGTTAACCATATTTGGGTCTACTTTTTCTTGAAATGTTGAAACAATGAGGTGACCAAAATAAATGAGATTGTGAATAAGGTGCATATTGAGGGCTGACATGTATTTGTTCCACATATATCGATTCTGACAGAAACTTAACTTTTAAAGTACTTTATGAGTTATGATTACTGGCAAAATCTGATTCAGAGCCCTCGTAAGACATCATAACATTCATAAAAGACAGTGACTCACATTAGACCTAGGTTATGATTTCAGAAATCTATTTAAGATATAGTTATAACATGTTAACTGTAGTTACATTTACTGAATTAGAATTTTTTAGTATCTTCACTCAAGAATCTCATGTCAGTGTTTTAAAAAACATAACCAAATTTAAAAAGATGTTTGTTAACCAATAGCATTAACAAAATGCTGGTACATATCATTTTAAAGGTAAACTCCTGATTGTGCCATTAAAATGGTTTTAGTTGCTATCACTTTGTCTATACCCTGTTCTAAAATATTGTACTAATTAAATCATCTTTTTAAAATCTGCCTGATATTTCAGGGATACAACTTTTTTTTTCTAAACAAAGTAGTTTTAGGAAATTTGCTTTTTCCTTTGTTCTTTCAGATAGATCTTCTACTAAAATGATTAGTATGTATTACAGGAGGAAAATTTAGTTGCTATAGACTTTATATTTGCACAGTTTCATGTTACTTTGATATTAAAGTCAGTATCCCAGAGGAAACCTTCTTTTCTTTGTGACCTATGTGCTATCTGTTATCTTCAGATTTTCTTACAGATTTGTGAATTATAATGCTAGCAATGTTGTGCCTTAATCTCCAAGAAAGCAATGCCTTATCCAAAGCAGAGTTTTATTATCGGTTAAGTTAAAGAGAACTCTCTAAATTGTTAGAGAGGTTCAAGATCCTCAGAGAAGTAACCATTTTTCTTACTGTTAAATTTGTTGCAATATGTTATGTTTTACAGTCTATTAGATCTTATCATCTGTTATTTATTATTTTTTAAGAGTAATGATTATGTATATTTGTGTGGTATAGTAGTGTACATTATATAATGGGGAAAATTTGTTTAGAGATTTTTAAAAAGCATWTGATTTAAGAAATTCATGGAAATAAAGTCTTATCTGTGTAACATGTTCTAAATTACAAAACCCTACTTTTTTCTTTAATTATATTAAACAAAAAAATTAAAGGGCCTTATTTAAGAATTTCATGTTGGCATTTGGGGGATTTTACAACTTTTTGTTAATTAGAATGGGAATTCACTTTGACCATCACTCTTTGCTTAAATAGTAACTGGAAACTTCACGTGTGGGTCTACCTCAGTTTTTACCCCTACTGTCAGAAACATTCCTCTTCCTTTAAATGGTCCCTGAAGCTATGATTGGAACCTCCAGGAAACCAGCAATCATCTCCACATGTCACCACTTTGCTCTTGCTCCTAATGAAAGAATTTGTGTCAATGCAACATCACATGTTGGATTGTATTTCGTTTGCCTGCTTGTTTTCCCATCCTCCACACATTGTCTGTTCACTTACTGTCTGTCTCTCTGGGCTGTTTGACTGATCTGACTTCCCAGACTGCTATTTTCTTGAGCTATGTTATTCCTTCCGGCTTTGTAGAAACTGCTTCCACTGAAAATTTTCTGCTCATCCCCAAGTGTTGCCAACTGGTAAAAGCTTAGAGTCTTCACAGAGGCCTGGGGAAGGAGCTCTGACCAAGAAGATAACTAAGGTGAGCCTTAGAGAAAAGAGAGCAGACAGGACAAACTCGCCATGGACCTGCACTGATGAGATGAACTGGGTTCAAAGGAGTTGGCTGCAACATTAAACAAGAAAACAGCAAAGAAATCACGCAACACACGGACATGAATGTCTCAGATCGAGTGTGGGACTGCTCTGCCACCTTAAGAGTCAGCTTCCAGGCTGGAAGGTGCTGGAAAAAGAGAGCGTGCACACAGAATCTCTATTTTTATAGGGGGATGGGGACACACAAAGGAGTTTTGAGAGAATATTCCTCCGCCAAACAAGGCAGGGGATAAGGTTTCTAAGGGGGGTTGTCCAGTCCCATTGGGTAATGCCCAAGTCCTGGGCTAGAGCAAAATTCTTTGCCCAGCAAAGGAGGTCAGTTGCTTTGCACAGTGCATGGTGTTCAATGCCAGACCAAACACCCTTCTTACTCAAGGCTGAGAGAGGATGCTCAGCTCATGGGCAGGGCGGTCTCCCACACTAAAGGTTTATATTTTCAACTTACCTAAAGCCCAAGTCAGGCCTACAGATATATGTGGGAGAACACACTTTTTATACTAGGAGTTTCCGTTGTTGGACTTTGTTTCCCAGAGCTACTGAAGGATGATTGAGGTCATTTAGTCTTGTGTTCTGCCTTGAAATTGGACAAGCCCAGTGATTAGCAACCATACTTTTACAACTTTCAAGAGAATTTCTAGTACTTTTGCTTTTTATATCCGGTTGCAAAGAAAATAGAACAGTTTTTTTTTCCTTTCACATTGTCAGTATGCATAAAGTCTGCATATACAAAGTCCAATTTATGATATAATAGCTATAAGGCACACAGGCACCTTGCACAACTTTGTGGCAACCAAGAAAACATCAGGATGGCAGAATAGATGATGCCCAAACCTCTGAGTATGAAATTCTGTAAAAACTTTTAGATACCATTGCCATATTTTAAATACTGTAAGCATAAATAATGACAAATCTTATGCTGTATATTAAATTCTCCTTTAAAAGCAAACTATTTCATATGATTGCACCAGCTAATATCTAAATGTCTAGAAAATTAGAAATTAGAAATCCGCAACATCTTTTGATTTGTTGAGGGGAGAAGCAACTCTTACTCCTCCATGGTTGGTTCAGGAGCCATGCTGAGGAGTTGAGAACTGTGCTGGTTTCTTCCCTGCTGTGTCCAGCTGAATTTGACTAGAAATGTACAGAACCAAAAATAGTTGTGCTTATGTATCATTTGGCAGGAAGTGTCCAATGCTTTGTATATTTTGTGCCTCTTCTAGATGTCATTACACATTAACAAAGAACAAAGAATAGGATCTTTACCAATGTGCCAGTGCATCCAGCCAAATAATGTCATGTTATTTGATCCCTGTTGTACTGACTGCAAAATATATTATACATACAGCCAGTCAGTAATAGCATATGTAATAAATGTGCAGACAGATTTCCATTTGTTTTCCTGTCGTCCTTCTCTGTGACCAAATCATAATCTTAATAATGAGAAAATATCGAACTGTTATTGATTCTAAAGATAGAACCCTTAAGGAATTCATTAATTACTCATTTCCTCTATGTGATGCATTTTTTCTCTTTTATGTGTTGAAAGACATACTGAATTTAATTCTAATGCAATCTGCAATGTGAGAGGTTGATTTTTATGCAGTTTTATAATGAACTTAAGAGATATTTTGTGACAAGGTTATTTTTAACTCTTCATTTACACCAAGAAATGTTTATTTCTGATTATTGCAAATGATTTCAAGTATTGTAATGGTTATATGTTTTCAAAATAATCTATTTAAATTGGAAATCTTAAGACATTCAATCTAACTAAAATGCAAAATAAAACAATGAGGCTTGTTTATCTTCTGCTTAGAAAATTTTAAAAAGATTTATAATACTCAGTATTAACAGGAACTATCAAGAAATGGGCATTATTGGTAGAACAAAATTTACATTTTATTGTAAATTTTATTGTAGAATTTTGTAGCATRTTTTAAAACTGCAAGCTATTTTACCCAAAAATTACAATTTTAGGAATTTATTTCCAGAAACTAAGCAGGTATGTATGTATACAAAGGAAAGGGATTTGTTGTTTACTTAAGATGGCAAAAATAGGGCTGGGGATGTGGCTCAAGCAGTAGTGCACTTGCCTGGCATGCGTGCGGCCAGGGTTCGATCCTCAGCACCACATACAAACAATGATATTGTGTCCGCTGAAAACTAAAAAATAAATATTAAAAAATTTTTWAAAAAAGATRGCAAAAATAAGCTGGATGCTGTGGTGCTCACCAGTAACCCTAGCTACTTGAGAGACTGAGGCAGGAGGATCACAAGTTCAAAGCCAGCCTGGGCTACTTAGTAAAATCCTATCTTAAAATAAAAAGGGTTAGGAGTAGTAGAGCACTTACCTAGCATGTGTGAGGCTTTGGGTTCAATCCCCAGTACTGAAAAAAGAAAAGAAAAAAGATGGCAAAAACAAAACTGGAAACCACCTAAGAGTCTTTGACTGGAGGATCAGTAACCTGACGCATTGTACAGACAATAGAGTACAAATGCCTAGTATTAAATAGACGAGGGAGATCCATGTGAAAATATATGTCTATATGAAATATTTTTTAAAAGCCAGTAATAGAACTGCATGATTCCAGTTTTGTAAAATAGGCATACATAGGTGGATATGTGTAGAAAACAATTTTGAGCTGGCTAGGTGGTAGAGTGCTTGGCTAGCATGCATAAGGCCCTGGGTTCAATTTCCAGCAACACACACACACACACACACACACACACACACACACACAAATTGAAACATTAACTACTAAGTAGTTGAAAATGATCATCTCTGGAGTTGAGGGTCATGAGAAATTTCTGCTTTTACTCTCTATATTGCGTCATGTTTTAAATGAGCATGTATGCTTTTTAAA